CCCCTGGATCCCCCATCACCGCCGTAACCCCACAGTCCCCCACACTCCCCCACTCTCCCCGTGCGCCCCAGAGCCCCCCGGCCCTGGTGTCCCCCGTGTCCCCGTACCTTGGTGACAGCGATGGTCAGGGTGGGCTCCTGCCCTGCCTCGGCCTCGCCAGCGCTGCCGTAGCAGAGCAGCCCAGGGCCCCGCAGGACGCAGAACAGGGGGGCCCCACTCGGCCCCTCAGCCCCCGGAGCCTGTCCCGAGACCCCCGGAGCCCTCAGCACCCATGGGTGACCCCACAGCACCAGCGTGTCCCCCCCGTTTCTGCACCCACACAGCCAGACCCACCCCCACCAGTCCAGAGCCGCTGGTGGGTTCGTGCCATCCCTGTCCCCATCCCTGTCCCCATCCCTGTCCCCATCCCTGTCCCCATCCCTGTCCCCATCCCTGCCGCAATTCATGCCATCCCTGTCCCCATCCCTGTCCAAATCCCTGTCCCCATCCCTGTCCCTATCCCTATCCCTGTCCCTGTCCCTGTCCCCATCCCTGTCCCCATCCCTGTCCCTCTCCCTGTCCCTGTCCCTGTCCCCATCCCTGTCCCCATTCGTGCCATCCCCTGTCCCCATCCCTGTCCCCATCCCTGTCCCCATTCCCAGCTCTGTCCCCGTTCTCAGCCCATTCCCAGCCTTTGTCCCTTCCCATCCCTGCCCTTCCCCTCGTGTCCTTCCCAGCCATGTCACTGTCCCCACCCCGTCCCCCTGACCACATCCCACGCCCATCTTTGTCCCCGTCCCTGTCCTGCTCTCATCCCTGTCCCCATTTCTCCACCCACCCCCCTTATCTGTGTCCCCATCTCCATCCTTGTCCATCCCCAAGGCTGGCCTTGTTCCTGTCCTTCCCCCTGTGCCTGTTCCCATCCCCATTCTGCCCCCATCCCTGTCCCTGTCCCATCCTTGTCCTCATCCCCATTCCTATCCCTGTCCCTGTCCCTGTCCCTGTCCCTGTCCCTGTCCCTGTCCCTGTCCC